GTCTAAAAATGGTTTAATCAGCTTGTGCCACTAAATGAACAGAAAGACAGAAACTTCTCATGTACACATTAAATTTTGTGACCAAGAGGAAGAAGTTGTTTACATTAAAAAAATCAACAACTTTATTTTGGTTCATATTTGGTGTACATACATAGAAAAATCAATATACACACATAAAACAGAATTCTGCGATTAAAGCCATTTTTAGATCATATGTTTCATTATATAGAAGGAAGCTAAGACTGGTGTCTAAGACCACTATACAGGAAGATCTGTTATAGTGGCTGTCAGTGAATAAAGCATTAACGCAAAACAAAATGTATAATGTGCATTTATATACAAATCAGCACTGTGGTATATGGGTCCAATGTCGCACTGTTTGGTCACCAGTTTGGCATTCATGATCCTCGCAGGATTAATGCACAGACTGATCCCGACTTTCCTCTGGCAGAAATGATTTGTTGCAACTTTGGTAATGCTGTGACCTCATCAAAGACCATCGACAGCTCAAATGAAAACATTTCCCTGCAGTGTTATTTATGATTAAATATCTAAATGTACTATGTTCTTAGAGTAAAATATTACTTTTTCTCCTGCGATCATGCCAGAGATTAAAGTCGACTGAGAGAATGTGCACAAAGGGAAAACTAAAGACAAAATTATGAGATTGAACTTGTATTTCTGCTGCTCCTCATTTGTTTGTAAAACAAATAGATTATAAATGTGAACACTGTCAGAATGGACGTGTTCTTATTTATAGAAAAATGAAGGTGTTTAATTTCTAATGAATTAAAATGAGGATGGCATCCCAGAGCGACACTACAAGCTGAGAAACATCAGCTTGTTGGTGTTTCTAGCACAGCTGTAAACGACTCTAATGGTCCAAATAAAAGAAAGCAACTCTAACTACTCGCCTTAGTTCGTTATGTGTGTGCATATATAGAAAACAACTCATTTAAATACTGCTCATTCACTGCCTTTAAAGCTAAGAAGCTATACAGAAAATGAATGAAGTATTTGCTATGATCTAATTACATTCATTGTTATAATAGGCTCATCCAATCTTTTGATATGAAATCAGATGAGAGCAGAGAGCAGAAGCATTAAACACATGAAGCTGTGAGTTAATATTCTGTTGGCGCTGCTCTGTGGTGTAGTGATTGCTTGTGCAATTACTGCTGTCGTGGTCGCTGTTGTCGTTGTGGTTGAGCTTGTTGTTGATTTGGTGGTTGTAGGTTCTGGCTTTCTGGTTGTGGTAGTAAAATCTAGGAAAAGACAAACAGGTAATTTGAGCAAATAAACACCTGATGTATAAATCACGTGTTTTGGTCTGTCTGTTAATATTTTCTGTCTGTATTCTAAGATAAGCTAACCTGCTCCCAGCAAAAGGTTTAAGATTATGCACAGATATGGAAGAGATACCAAACAAAGAAAAAACTATGTTAAGAATCTGTGTCGGTTTGGTGTGAATATAAAACTGAGGTTTGATTCTTTTAATTTTCCCACAGTGACTTACAGACTGTAGCATTGAGTTTTTCTGATGTCACCACTGGAGGGCGCTGTGGTCCAGCTGGTCCCAGCTCCAGCTTGGTTTCACACCAGTACTGGGCTCCATCATCTTCTCTACTGGGGGTGATGTTCAGAGTGAAGGTCTCACTCACTGGTTTCTTTTGTTTACTCCTGGACTGTAGGTGACCCAGTGCTGTGTTTCCTCTGTAGAAGGTCACAGTGAGGTTTTGAACAGGAGCTACGTTCTGTACGCTACACTGCAGGGTGTACTGCTGATTCTCAAACATCATCTCAGTGTGGTTTACAAAGCTGATGGAGACACTTTCTGGAGGCTCTGAGAAGACAGGGAAAGAAAGATTAACACAGGTAGATGTCAGTCAGTAACCGCTGAGAGCATGAATCCATCTAACCGTGTATTTACAGAAAGAGATCAAATTCTGATTATAAATGATGCAAAATTCACTAGAAAGTCTGATGTTATAAAGTAAACATACTTACGATAAAGAGTTGGATTCAGAATGCTAGTACACTGATTACTGGTATAAAAGCACAGTAGAGATATTTCCCATTCAGTCAGTCTGTCAACTGTCCAGAACATCGTGGTTCCATTTTTTGTAACATTTCCCACAGCGTGCTCCAAACCAAAGACATCTCCACTGCAGTCCTTCTGACATACATCACATGTAACATTGGCTGGGTCGCCGTACTTCACTACCAGTGCAGATGGAGTAAACACAGGATACTCTGTGCAGCTAGAACCTGTAAGAAACACAGTACATGTTTGAGAAAATCAATAAAACAGTAGTTACAACAACACTTGATACTAAATCTTATGGTTATATAGTTTACATTTCTTTCTAGATAATTCTCACAGTATTTGGATACTGTCGGGAGATTTGGCAGTAAAAGTTTAAACAAATCCACAAATAAAATGAACATTTGTTTTTTATGGATGTCTGTCACATTTGGACTAGATCCCACAAAGTTTTATATTCTTTAAATACAAAATATCCACAAATAATAATCCGTCACCACACAACTGTACACGATGGTCTTGTTATATATGTGTGTTTGTTTTTCACTTGAGTTGTTAAAAATTTTAAGATTGACTGATTGATTTAAGATTCAATGATCACATTACAAACTGATCAAGCACTAATCTAAGAGCCACAGTTAGAGTAATTAATCTATCACTTTACAACTTCTAAAATAAAAAGTGAGAACCATTAAATTAATGGGGTATTACAGTATGCTTCCACCTGTAACGATGGCTCTAAGTTTCTAAGACATTCAGCAGCAGCAGGACTAAACGTGAGCTGTAAATTAGTTGTACCATGCACATCGTGAACACAGCCTCTTGGAAAACCTTTCACTTACCTCGACTGGACACTTGGTGGGTGCACAGAAAAGTAACTGAGGAGGCGACCAGAAAAATAAAATAGGAAAACATTATTCCCGGCTAGATTTTTAGAAATTAAATGTTGTCGAGAAGATGATCAAACATTTAGTCCGAAGGCGTTCGGAGAGGGGAATGTACTCGAGTTCCTCATTTTGCTTTTCTATTGTAAGAGAACAATGTTGGCAGTGTAGCCTGTTTTCACAGCACACATCCGCTGTTTTTTTTTTCCTTTCCTGTTTTACAGCCATCAAGTTATCAACGTTGGAAAATTGTGAAAACAAAAGTGTAGCATTGTCACCATTATACATACTGCAATCTTTTTATATACTGACTTTAAAGTAGTAGTAAGACTTTACTAAGTAGTAATATCCTCATAATAATTAAAATATATATCAATCAATCAGTATGACTAAGGAGCTTGGAAAGAAAAGCGTCTGAACTTCTTTAAGTTGCTTGAAGATCTTTCACCTCTGATCCAAGAAGCTTCTTCAGGTCTAGGGTCAAATGTTGAAGAGTCCCAGATTTAACCCCTGTGGGAGTGTCCCCACGAGAGGGACAATGGACCCCCTAATGATCCTCTACCTAATCAGCCAAGGTGTGAAAATGTGTGTGGGTCACAATCAGCCAGGGTTTCGGGTGAGCTCATTGTGAAACCTGGTACCACCTTATCATGTGATTTCCTGAGGTACTTCACAATGAGCTCACCTGAAACCCTGGCTGATTGTGACCCACACTCATTTTCACACCTTGGCTGTGAAAATGGGTGTGGGCCCAGAGTGTGAGTGGGCGTTAAGGCGTCTGGGAAGGGAACTCAAAACTGGATTATAGATGGCAGACAGTGTTGTAAACCACCGCCTCTGTTCAAAGATGGTCGCTCACAGTGGACATAGATGGCTTC